TAATGACTGAAGCAGAAAGGCTCTCATTATTCATCCTCTAAAGTATCCAGTATCATGTAAAAACAAATCATTGAATCCAAGCACTCTCTAACAAAAATATATAGTTCAGCAAGAAGTACAAAAATGGCATGTAAGGCAATTATGACACATTCTTTCCGAGCTCTGAAGCACATTCTCTGTTGCTAATCTTTGGCTTAATTACTCTGATTTAGAAAGCAGCCCATCAAACAGAGCAAAGCCAACTTCAATTTTCAAATCAGTGCACTTGAAAAGATGCAGTCTGTTTTTGCCTTAAGTTTTAGGTGCTTACTGGCAGCATAAAGAATACAATGGTATTTTAAAGCAGTATTTTTCCTGATTAAAAAAAAAAAGTTACTTTTACAATCAAACTTCCACTTCCTTATTACCTAAAAATCCAGCTTCTACGACATAGATAGTGCAATTTGGAAGTCCAGAAGCAGCTCGCATGTGAACATCTTTATTCTCGCATAGGAATTCTTTAGGGATTTTCATTTTATGAAAAAAGCACACATCCATCCTCAGTGATCTATAAAACTCCAAGTGGTTTAAACACAGAATAAGTGAGGGAATCTGGGGCTTGATCCAATTTTCATCGACATCAGAGTGTCTTTCTGTTCCCGTCAATAAAAACTACATTGTGTAATTGGCTGGAGGAGGAGTCATTGTCAATGTAGGAGAGAGAGGAAGTGTACAGGCTACAAAGTGATCTCTTGCTGAACAGCCAGCAGGCAGCAAGGAGGCTCTTGAGGCTGACCACTGACTGTGCTGACATGCTGACCCAGAAGAAAGGTGGAGACTCAAAAAGGAATCCCTGTCTAACAAAGTAACTACTCTGAAAAGTTAAAGCATTCAGAGAAACTCAGAATCAAATCTCAAAAAATCCTGTTTGCCTTTACAATCTCGTTTACTCACAGCCTCTGTTACTATAGATAGAGTTGCCCATGCTTGGAAAAGAGGATAGCTATGGATTAGCACACAATATATGGCAGGAAATCTCTTTAGAAGGATACTTTTATGAACAAAGGCAAGAGTGCTCTGTCCTAACTGCACTGCTCTCACAATGGCTGTCTTCACCTCCAGGCTGGCCACCGGCAGAATGTCAGAGCCACCAGGCCCAATAACTTGATCACGAAGTTCAAGGTCATAGTGTTCAAGAGGAAATTCTAATTCTGCAAAGAGGTTACTTCAAAAGTTACATTAATTTGATAACCATCTACACTCCCCTATGAAACTTTATCTTTACACAGGTACCAATGCAAGGATCAGACAATAATGACAGCAAACAAGCAACATAAACATGTAATTAGCTGACATTTTCTCTCCACTGGCACACCTGTGTTAGTTCAACTCTCAGGCATGGACACACAAGGTTTGAAAAATCAGGGGCAACTCCTACCACCTCCAACAAACTCACAGCCCCCAGGTGCTTCTTGGAGCCTCCACCAAGCTGCCACCGGGCCCATCGCTGGGCGTTAATGCAGCCCCCGCTGGCCCATTATTGGAGCAATTGCTGGGCTTCTGTCGGAGCCCCCATCAGACCATTTCTGAGCCCATCCCTGGGCCTTCACTGCAGCTCCCATTGGCCCATTTCTGGTCCATTTCTGGTCCTGTCCCCACTGCTGGCCCACTCCCTGCACCATGAACAGGCCACGGGCGCTTTGGAGCCCCCCCTGGACCAGTCCCAGGGTGGTTCTGGAGCCCGCTCTGCCCAGTCCTGAACCAACACAGAGGAGCCCTCTCTGCCCACTGCTGAACCAATCCCAGAGTGGTTTTGGAGCCCTCTTTGGAGCCTCGTTTTTCACATTAGAGAGCAGTTCTACAAAACCAAACTGTTAGGACAGTGCATTTAGCTAGGAATACCAGCAGAAGACTGGGTAAAATATGGTGGTGCTAGGAGAATAATTTACCTGTCACCTTCCCCCGGACCATTTTTGCTACTTGGTATTTTATGTATGCTCCAACCAGGAGGTAAACATCGTGAGACGGTATCAGGAGGATATTCTCCAGAACCAGCAAACGGATCGAGGCAGCAGCTACTTTCTGATGGAAAAGGAGTAAATGCACTTTAATAGCACAAATTAAAATCTAGTAACAGTTTCTTCATATCCTTACCTGCTCAATATTCTGGTTGCCCTACATTCCTTTGCCAATCTGGTATTTCAATTACATGCTTTTATTTTTCTATTGTTATGTGAAGGACAACTAATGACAAGAAAAAAAATAACTCTCACAGTATCTTCAATATTTAGTGGGGGAAAACCAGCAAAATTGGTAATCCTAACAATACTGCTAGAAGTGGTAATAAAGAGATTTTTTTCTCTTATCTGTTACTTGTGGTAGTCTTAGCTGTCTCTGTAATGCAGCAAGATAGATAACTTCACATGTACTTATGCATACTCTTAAATGTCATGCTCTAAAAAATGGGTTCCCAAACTTTTAAGAATTTGTATTCTTTTGAACTGAAAAGAAGTATTTTTACAGTCATTATTCACCTTGTAGGTTGATTCTTGTATTCGGACTTTTATGACTGCTGCACCAGTTTTGATTCCTGACACCAGAATCCTGTCTCCTTGTTTTTCTGCTCTTTCCATCTCAGTTATGTAGTCTGGTGGAGAGTAGTCAGCTTCTGAGTATTTTAAAATCCTGACCAAAAAAAAAAAAGTAACTTTTTTTTTTTTTATGATCTCCATGATCATTTCAGATTCACTAGTACAATGTAGATGAATTACATTTCTCCTAAGCTAAACAAACTCAATTCCCTGAACCTCTCCTATCACGGCTCCTGCTCCAGACACTTTTTCACAAGTGTCTGCTGGATTCAAGTCTCTCAGTCTCTTTTTTTGTGCTTGAGGGCCCCAAAAATGGAGCTTCTGAATTGCTCTGACAAGATTTGCTGATCATTGCCTCAAAACTATTGGGCCCTGTGATGCCAACATGGGCTAGGCTATCACAAACCGTTTTAAACTGTACAATACTTACTGTCCTCGCATTCAAACCAAAAGCATTCTCTCAGCAGACTGCCCCTGCTGCCAATTTTACTCACGTGATTTATCTAAAAGCCAAATTAACAGCACTCTTACACCTACTGGCGGTGCAGTGATAAATCACTTCTCATCTCTGTCCCAATTTACCCATCCTATTTCTTACCCATTCCAGGAGTATCCCAGGATGAAAGCGACTGCAAAACGTTCATTTATAATTTCTAGCATAGGTACCTTACTTTGCTTGACGGTTCTAAACTTTCGATGTCATCATCCTTTGCAATGCTCCATTCAAAAGTCATTCCTGACAAGCTACTGAACGTGTTTCCTGAAAACAAAAATGAAAATTTGTATCGAGAGATAAACTCCTGTATTCTAGCCAGCTGATCCAGTGAAATCAAACTTCCTTTCTTTCTAAATATGAAGACAAAAAGCAGCATTTATTCCTCAGAGTAAAACTTTGGAATTACATCAGGAAAGCTTGTCTCACAAGCAATACCTTCAACATCCAGAGCTCTCACAGCCAACTCCAGAGGAGAATCTTCCACATAGATTTCCCGAGTTCGGGAGATAATTTCAATACTGTTTATCAGATCAACAATGACATCGCAACGGAGTAAATGGCCTGTCACTGAAGCAATAGAACAAATAAACCTTAATTCAGCATCTACTAGTTCATAATGGCTTAAGAATCATGATAAGTTATTACTAGTGAAACTAATAAATACATGGCTTCTTATTCTACAGAACTTAAGATTTTTTTTTACAGACCACAGTTTTCCAACAATAAAGTGTTCATAATTCTAAAAATGTATGAGTACAATCCTAGGCTTCCATAAAAAGCCTGAACTCAAAAATTACCTTCTGCTTTATGGATTTTTGCTTGTCTACCTACCACTTTCCTCAGCTATCACTACACCACTTAGCTTTGTGGCTTGTGAAGACCGAGCAGAGAGCAATGCTTTTTGGGAACAAATGCTTCCATTCTCATAAATGGACTCAACAGTGACTATATCATTATGTGTGGAATACCTGAAAGAAAGACAGGAAAACATTTTTCCTCACTCTACTCAAAAGTGTATCTTTAAATGGGTTCAAAAGAGGGGGGCAGATTGCTCAAATAAACACAGGTTTATATTGCCTTTAAAACACTGTAGTTTTTAATATTTATTCCTGTAACACCCTGCTTAAATCCATTAGTCTTAGTGCTGGGTGCCGCCGGGTTACAACAGCTCAAGTTTCAAGTTCCAAAGGCCAACAGTTTATGGTCCCCCTTCTCCAAGTCCTAATGTTGACACAGAGCCCAGAAAACAAACAAGCCCTGCTCTGACCCTGTAAACCCATCCCTTACAGCTCAGCACAACACACGGGTCAATATCCCCCTGCTCCCTGGCAGAAGGCTGAGGCCTCTCCCTGTGCAAGCCGAGAGCCTGCCTCACAGCACAGCCAGGGGTACCTCTATTCCTTCCTTCAGACATTCTCACTCCCTTCTTGCCCTGACCCTTAGCGGGTTCCCGTCTCCTCTCGGCTCCCCCGGTCCCTTTTTGTCCCCTCAGGGCCCCCCTGTCACCAGCCCCCATCTTCCCTTCAGCACCTCCCCCTCCCTCACCAGGAGTAACAGCCCCCCTCAGCCTCCAGCACAAAAGGGACCCGCAGCTCCCGACTGAAGGGCAGCAACACTTTGGGCACGTTCAATTTAAACGCGAGGCCGGGCAGGGCGAAGAACAGGATGGGGAGGAAAAGGCGAGAACGGAGCCGGGCCCGCCCCATCCTGCCAGAGAAGAACCAAGATGGCGCCGCCGGCAGGGCGCTCTTCCCGCCTTCCGGCACGGCTCCGCTCCGCGCATGCGCAGAGGCTTCCTGCTCATCTCACCGCCGGAGCCTTGCGCATGCGCACTGCCACTCCGCCCCCCCCCCCCCCGCGCTGAGGTAAAAGATGGCGCCGCCCCCTCCCCCCCCCCCCTTCACCCACTAAAGCACTGCAAGGGGACAGCAGCGTGGAGGGATCGGTTTTTATTTCAAAAGACAGTAATACAAGTTCTCAATTTAGTATCAAAACACTTGATATGGTTCTTTTCTCCAGATTGGCCCCTAGAACTGCTACGACCAAGCAGCATGCTCGAACCACAAGCTACACACGACATCTCCACACTCACGCCTCACAAAAACTACAATGCACAGCAAGATGGCTTGTACCTTATTAAGACATTAAGAGCACTCCTGGCCAGGAGAGGGAAGGCCTCGGCTTCCCTCCCCCAGGGTAGGCAGAACTTTTCAAAGAAAACAAGACTTTTGTACGTAAGCTGTTAAGTTGAACCCAGCGATGAGTGATAAAGCTTGGTGCACCAGCACTTAGTGAAGGCAAATTCAACCCCTGTGTAGCAATGTGTTAGAGGGGCCGGGGCTTCTCTAAGCCTACCGGGAAAGGAAGTGGCCAACACTGGGGGGAGGGAAGGGAAACAACCCCTGGGAAGGTTCAATTGTTCAGATAATAGGCTTGGCTTTAAAAAGAAAAAAAGTCTGCTTTTGCTCAAGTTGCTTCTCCACGACAGAGTTACCTTAAAGCTGAAAACTGAACTGCTCTTTTGGCAAACAGCTCCTGGAGTGGAAGCTTTCCCAACAGGCCTCCATTCCTAGCCAGGAACCATCACACCCATCTTCCTCCCCTGCTGAAGCAGAGGGGCCCAGAGCTAATTAACAGAAGGTTAATATCAAAGTTTAAAGCCAAGAGCTTTTGAAGTGTTGCTCACCAGCCTCGGTTATTTGGAATGTTTACAATGGTTGCTACAAAAAAAGGTAGTTACAAAATGTATACATCTCAAACATGCTCCCCCAAACATTATTGCATTGTTTATTTCCCTTAATAATGCTGTTTGAAGCTCTGCCCAACCTGATGACCTTTAACCCTGAGGCAAAATAGCAGATTTGTGTTTGGTCAAGTTGGCAACAGAAAGTAAACCCTGGTCCCCAAGGGTTAGAGGTCAGCAGCGGCTGGGCTGGCCCCCCATGGCATCGTGTGGCGGAGGCAGTGGCAGGGATCCATTACATTTCATTCAGGTCTAGCAGGGTCTGGTCCAGCATTCTTTGCGTGCAGAGATGCTCCTCTTTGGTGGATTTCAGTTTATCTGGCAGGAAGCAAGAGTTAAAGAGTTACAAGTCAGCGTAAGACAAGCGAGAAACCTTCGCCACAGAAAGCTTGCACTAGCCCCTTCCCAGCACGCTGCCGTAGCGAGTTCTCAGACCGTGGGTGCCTGGCTGGCTGCAGCTAGAAGCTCTGAAGTTACCTGGCTCATTTGTAGCCCTTGTCTCTCGCGCTGCTGGTGCTCCGAATTGGCACGGTCAGGAGGTACTTTTAGCTAGTGCTCTAGGCAGTATTTTGCATGCAGGTGCCTCAGATTGCAGCTAGCTTTCGCCAGGGCTTCAACACTTTCAGACAGCAGTCCCCAGTGGCCCAGCAAGCCACCCAAGAGCAACTCGAAGATTAAACACTTAGAAAATCAACCCCTGGAATTCCAATTGATTGTGCCCCCCTTCCCCCCAGCACAGGAGAGTGATGCCAAGCTGGTCACCAAGACCGTAACTACCTAGCAGCAGGGAGCAGACAACCAAGGACAGTGGGGCAGAGGCTGTTTTCAGGGAACAGCAGGCAGTGAGCAAGTAGGAGCAAAGGTGCTACAACTCTGCCCAGGACTACAGGCAGCTCGCACAGTCGGTTCTCACATGTTCCTTAAGCCAGGAGAGCTCAGATCAGCAACTAGCACTCTAGGTAGGCTTCACTCCATAGGTGAGCCCACCCTGGCCACTGAAGAAGTCCACGCGCCGGGACACTGGATAGACAGGCTGTAGAAAGACGTCCTTTAGGCACAGGCAGTTTCTCAAAGCTGCTCCCCACCTCCCCGCTCCCAAGGGGACTGCCGAGGGGCTGCAGCAACCCAAGGTCAGAAAGAGCACACTGCACACACAGCAAGAAGCGTTCCTTCTAAGGCACTAGCAACTGCAGTGTTTAACGATTCCCTGCAGGCACTCAAGAGATAGCTTCATGGCATGGACACAGGGACTTGGTTTCAAAACGTCCCTGAGCTTCCCAACCCGTCCTGAGACTCCACAACTGCACTGGGATCAGGCCCCGGGCATGGCTACTTCCCCCAAAGCCTTCTATCTAGGTCAGGACTCAGCTCTGTATGAAAGTACTACAGGTGTGCAGTGTCTTAGACCACAAGGTCAGTCATTTATTGTTAGAAGCCATCATTCCATGCAGCAGGAAATCCTATAATCATTCAGCTAACAGTAAATTAAGCCATAGCACTTGACAGGCATCTTCTAGCAGACGAGCCTAACGTCACCCCACGCCTCTCTTGGAGGGTGCAGCAGTTCTGGTTCCATGGAGGAGCCAGGCGAGACCGCTCAAAGAACTGCCAAGTCTGAGGGTTTCTTCACCAATCATACAGGTTACCTTTTATAAAAAGAGCTCTTAAATAAAATAAGTTAGAGGATGAATTCAACTGCCCCATTCAACAGCAGCAATTGCATAAAATTTGCAAGTCTGCCAGTCTTAAGAGTGATCAGATTTCACTGTGGTCCACAGCACTGGTGGTCGCAATAAGCTTGTTTAATGGCATTAGAGGGCCCCCTTCTCAGTCACACAGATCATGCAGCGTTAGCTTCAGCTCGTTAGAGAGCAGGCGGTTTTTCTCAAGCTGGCTGTACAGGCGCTCTGCAGCAGCAACAGGATTAGGGGAAACAAGAGGAAGAGAGAAAAAGAGAGAAAGGGAAGGTTAGTAGAGTACCAAGATGAGCACATCAAATAACCTGTCTCCATAGCACGTGCCTCTGAAGATCAAGTCTAGGCTATTACACAGATGAAGCTGGGAAGAACAAAGGTTTGTGTTACTCTAACTTGCTTTTCAGCTCAGAAGATCACAGTGGAAGCAAAGTGTGGGCAGAAATGGAAGTGCTGCCAAGGGCTTGCGAAGGCAAAGGAAGAGAAGAACACCAGAAGAGGAGCCTGCAGGCTCGGCTGCACCGTACCCAGGTAGGGAGAGAGACCTGGGATGTGCTTTAGGCCTGGGGAGTACCCTGCAGAAAGAAGTCCTACAGCAGCTGAACCAAGAAGCACCTTCCAGGGTGCGTCACCACCCAGCAGTAGGACTGAGGGCTTGAGGCAGCTGAACAGGGACACGGGCATCTAAGGACAGCAGGACTGAGACCGACAGCATCTTGCCTAACCCAAAGGACACGACTTTATCCCACCACATCTAAACAAGGACTGGAGACAGTATCTAGAGGAAAGGGAGTACTGCTCTGATGCTCTCCCAGCTCGGGTCGCCTCTCAGCCATGGCCCTGCAGTCCATCAGCCACAACTTATTGAACATCTGTTTTTGTCTGTCTCCAGGGGCAGCATCCTCCCAGCCTGACAATTCCCATTCCTGTATCTGGGAGCATTCCACACAGTGAAAAATTCTTACACAGGGGCTTCCAGCCTGGTAGAAACAACCACCACACACCGAAGCAATATGCACAGCATGCTGCCGTGGCCTGATGAGTCAATACCTACAGCACAGCAACTCTTGCTGGCCTTAAGCTTCTTAAATCCTTCTGGTACTACAAGGTTACAGGATTCTGGTACTACTACAAAGGTCTGAGATCCCCAGGAATCCGTGGCACCCTCTGAAGGGGGTCTATACTATTCTTCACTACTTTTGTCCCAGGATTAATTGCTCTTGAGCGAGACCTGGCTACATAAGGCTCAGGACACTCAAGTTTCACATGGAGCAGCCAAAGCACAGCCCCCTGCCCCAGACACCTCACTCAGTCCCTCCAGCACGACAGCCACACACAAGAGGGAATTATTCCACCTTCACCCAGCTCCCCTCAGCCCCCAGCACCTGCCCTAGTGACACCTCGCTGCAGTACAGGAGCTGGGAATGCCCCTGGCCACCGAGGAACAACCAGAGCAGCTGACAATTCCTGCCCCCCTGCAATTTGACTACAAGTAGAGGGAAGTTGTGGTGCGGGAGACAAATACGCTCGGTGCCAGCTCACACCGGAGCCTGCCTTGCACGTGGGCTACTCGTGCCAGGGACCCTGCTCTGAGCAGGCGACGTGGGCTGGCCCCGGGTCTCTGGAAGAGCAGAGGATGGGAGGGATCCGCCACCACCAGAGGTATGAGCAGCTCAAGGCTGCTGCAACACCTCCCAGCCTTCAAGCAAGCATTCCTGCCTGCGGCCAGGGACCTGACGATCCGCCCACGAGGGAGCAGACTGACTGGGGTAATTAGCGTGACCTTCCCGGGACCTCGGGAATGGCTTCTCCACACGGAGCACTTGCTCAGGGCTGTCGGGGCTCGCTGCAGCGTCTGACCTGCTCCCTTCCCCACCCAGCCCGCAGGGCAGCCTTACAGCCACGGGGAGCTCCGTGACCTGTGCCTCCTGGTCAGTTTATCTGAGCTCACGGCTCCCCTGGATTTACAGCCCGGCTCGCGGTAACCAGCCCGCACAAGCCTAGCGATCCTGTCAGACCAGAAGCCTCTCAAAACCTCCCAGGGCAGGAGTTGCATCACCCACCACCCAGCGTGGAGTTCCACCAGGACGAGCAGGGCAAGGGCCTGCCAGAGCCCAGCCCTCGAGAAGGTCGCTTGCGACACCGCCACGCAGCGGGGGGCCACCCGTCCTGCTCGGCCCCAAGCCGAGGAGACCACCCCGCGAGGACAGAGGCCATTGCACAAGGGCAGGGAGCACGATGCTGCTTCCAACTTGGTAAGAGCCAACAGGAGAACGCTGGGCTGGAGGCCTCCCCTCGCCCAGACAGATGTGAGATACCCCTGCCCCTCCCACGGGACGCAGCCCCTCCAAAATTCAGCTGCAGGGTTGGTTACTGAGAGGACTCCTGCTTTGGGGGCGCAGAGCTATTGCCCTGAAGAGCCAGAGCACCACCTGCCAGACCTTTCCGAGCTATTCTCTTGGGAATTCCTTCAAGTGCTCCCTCCTTCCCTGCCCGGAGCAGCAGAGAGGGGACAGCCCCGATACAGAAGGCAGAGTGAGAGCAGGCTGGGGCAGCGCGGCACGTCCAGGCTGCGCTCGCTGCCGGTGCCACTTGTGCAGAGAGCAGGGTGCACACAAACCTGAGGTTGAGGAAACCACGGGAGGTGTCCCATTTCACCAAAACTCGACTCCTGAAGGGCTCTCCGGGCACTGTGGCAGACGAACCGACCCAAGAGGGAAAAAGTATCGGACAAGCCACCGTCAGGCAGCGCGGTTACGAGGCTGATCAGTGCTTATGGTACCCGAACAACCAGCAGTGGCACGTGCCAGGTGCTTGCTGCCAGCCACAGAGCCCCGTGCAGCGCTGCAGGCCACGCTCCAGGAGGATCCTGCGACCCTCGGCCCCACGCAGGGAGCTGGAGCACTGCTGTGCGTGGACGCCCTGGCCCTGCTGCCCTCAGCCCTGCGCTTCTCCTCCCTGAAGCAAGGAGCCACACGTGCCCCCCACAGGCACAGCACCCACCCAGCCCTGCCCAGCTGGAAAACAGCCGGCGTTGTGTAATATTTATTAGCTTTCACAACTTGCCAGTGCCCTCAGTGACTATCGGGTGCGGCGACTTCCCGCTGCAAGCCAACGTTTGGCAACCAGTGAATGCCAGAGCAGGCAGGTGAGGAACATTTCCCTGAAGCAGACAGCGTGAGGACCTCTTGCTACAAACCCCAGCAGCCTGCCCGAACCTACAGAGCGTGCCGTGCACCGAGGCAGCGTTTGATGCACATCGGTGAGCCAAGAAGACACCCAAAGGGGAAAACCTCGTGCGTTAATGCAGTCTGTGTATTCCACCAGCACGGGTACGGTGACACTGGTTTGAAGGCAACATCGCAACAGTTTCTCTAAAGCAGCAAGTGGTCACTAGAAACCCATTTCTCAGCAGCACCAGCCGTTCCATTCAGTTTATACAAGGGTTGTTTTTCCTTAAAAAAGGTGACATCATGCTCAAGCAAGAGGCAGGAGAAATACAAAAGGAGCTTTATAGCTCTACACAAGATATGCAGATGAGAACAACATACTCCCAGCTACACCCAGACATTGAAAAGGGCAGCCCCTCAGAGCACGGCAGTGTCTGGCACATCGGGTCAAACAGAGGGAGCTTTGTTTAGGAGCAAGTGCAGCATAACTGGGGGCTGCTGCTGCTGTCAAGCTTCAGAGTCTGTACAGCACTCATTCCCAGGGATGCCCTGTGCACAGTGACTGGAAAAAGGTACTGGAATTCAGAGTGAGATGAGGAGAGCACGAGTGCAGGGTGCAGATGCAGAACAAGCCACCAAGCAGAGAGGCAAATCCAAAGTGGAGTTTGGAATCGCAAGACTTATCTGTGTGAAACAGAAGGAGACACTAGTTTTAAGAGAAACTTCAGTGTTTGTGCACGGCAAACTGCTCGGGGAGCTTTGGAACGCTAGCGTTAGGGCTCTTCTCTGCAGCGCAAGTACCTGGCCTCTCCTGGGTTAGTGGTAAGGACTGTGCAGAGCAGCTGTTAGCAGAACCCACCGCCAGTCTCAACAAGAAGCCAAGTAGCAAAGTTGCAGGAACGCGAGGTCAGCTACTTCCACAGATCACTTCACGATCCAGCCCGTCTCAAGCTTGTTAGGGCAATTCCTGAGGCATCTGCTTGAGCACTGCCCACGGCCACTCCCGGGAAGAATCCCGAGACCGTGGCCCAGTGGCTCCAGCAGGCAACGAAGGCACATTAAGCCCTTCCCAGCGGGGCTGGGAATTGCACTGGAGTTCAGGTCCGAACTCTGCCAGGCCAGCACAGCGCTTGGTGTTACACATGCAGCTCACAAGGCCCTGGAGTTAGAACGCAGCATGCTGCAGGGAAGCCTCGATCCGAGAGGCAGAGATCTGTAGAAGTAACCTAGACAACACAGTGCCATTGATTCTCCGGCTATGAAAATCACAGCAAACCAAGCAAGCTCCGGCGGTCTAGCCTGCTGAAGCGAGAGGCAAACACCAGCCAGCTCATATTTACATGGAAGTCATGTCATTCAGGGCGTGGTCCAGTTCCTCACTAATTGCTTTGTACTTCAGTTTCTGGGCATAGAGCTCATCTAGAAGAGGTTTAGGAGGAGAACAAAAGGGAAACAATGAGGGAAGGCAGAGGAGTTCTTCCAACACCCTGGGGCAGGAAAAGCAGTGTGGGATTTGTGAACAGAAGAAAATGAAGTCAGATGTGGAGCCACCACGACTGCTGGACTCCGGTCGCTCCTGAGCAATGGATGGGAGGTTTCAGACAGCCCCAGGGCAGCCTGACCAGCCGGGGCCCTCCGGGACTCCGAGCCAGCTCCAAGGGGAGCCGAGCCGAGAGCTCCAGCCCCACCAGCCCGTGAGAACAAGCTGCCTGCAAGAACCACGGGCAGGAGGAGCACCAGGGAGGGCAACTCCACTTGGGGAGCTGATTGCGACACCTAAGGCAGGCACGGATCGATGGAGGCGCTTTGTTCTCACCTTCGGTTTCAATATAAAAACCTGTTTGGGAGAAGTCAGTTAAGTAATAGTCCTGAGCATCAGAGGGAATTCCCATTAGGAGCGCACACAGCTCAGCAGGATACGCCGAGCAGACGGGCCACACCTGCGTTCTCCATCAGATAATGGGGCAGACTGGCAATCACCCACCTTCCCGTGGAGGAGGCAGCCTTGAAACTCGCACTGATGCGCTCCTTTAGCACTGCACAGCGCTGGCACGGGCTCCTCCCAGCACTGGCTGCCTAGGCTGCGATACAGCTGGAAATGTTGTTAACTGCTTCGCGGAGCACAGAGAACTCTGTCAGTTGTCATAAACTAGGTCACTTCCACAGCAAGGCCGGAGACTGGAGCCAGCTCTCCCCATCAGGGGCAGCACGCAGGGACTCGGAGCTTCTGCGGTTCTCCCAGATCATGAGGTGGCTCAGATTGCTGCTTGGCTGCAGTTCTGGAACGGCTCAGCTGACACCGCTGCTATTTCTAGATAAAACTCCTGAGTGACTCCAGCCTGGAGGATGTGGCTTTGAATCTCCAAGACCTGGCACTAAGCGCCCACTAAGGCACATGCTGTGGTTGGGGCAGGAGGCCTGGAAGAACTCTGGCGTGCCAGCGCAGCCGCTCTAGCCACAGCTATCTCTGGAAGAATCCAGCCACAGCCCCAGAGCTAAGGCAGGCACGTGGAGCCTTCTCCTTCCGTGGCTCGGGGAGAGTTAGGGCTGTAACAGCAAGCCTCGGGACTGCTCCTGAAGTTCTGTGAAAGCAGGAGGAGGAAAGGAGCCCGGCCTCGGCCCAGGCCGACCACCACGCTGCACGGGTGGGACTTCTGGTGACTTTATCTTGAACCGATGCTGGGGAGTCTGACTCTTCCCGGGGCTGGTTCGTGCCCCACCGAGTGCAGTAACGCTGTCTGCAGACAGCCACGTGCATGGGATTCCACACACAGGTATGTAATCGCAACCAATTCCTGGGGAGTTCATGGTTGTTTTTTTTTCCTATGCCACTCCTCAAATTGGGTTAAGCTGGAGCCCAGGAATCCAGTTATGCTCCTGAGGACATCATGACCAAGGCGAGCAGCTGCACTATCAGTCAGACACGGCAAGGTGCTCAGATCAAAAGCTCAAGGGCTGCCACAGCACGGCCAGGGAATTGTTTCCAGCAGATGCACAGGGCACAGCCCCGGAGCCTAAGAGGCACCGGCCTCACCCCTGAGGCTGAGCCAGGCTTTGCTCCCGGTACCAAGGAGCTCTCCTTCCCCAGCTCATCACCACAAAGCCTTTGGCTCCCCATCCCCAGCACGTACCTTCCAAATCATCGATGGTCTTCTCCAGCTTGGCCACAGACCGCTCGGCGAATTCAGCACGGGTCTCCGCCTGCCAGACAGGAGCGGGTTGGTCAGCAGCAGCTTCGGGGTACAAGGGCCCCCAGAAGCAACCGCCCGAGGGTGCTCCCACTGACCAAACCGAGGCCATCCCGACACGGTCACTCACCTCTTTGAGTTTATCAGTCAGGATCTTGATCTCTTCTTCGTATTTATCCTCTTTTTGAGAGTACTGTGGAAAAGGAGAGGTGTCAGCGACCAGCAGCAGCCCCCTGCATCTCCTACTCCAGAGAGCCACGGCTACAAAAGGAGGCTTCAACTCCTCGCTGCGCTGTACGTGCCCACGGACTTCCAACTTATTCACACCCCTACCCTGCTCCAGGAGGACCGGGTCAGACAGCAAGTCCCACACCATGCACGTGGCACAGAAACTCGGGCACAGAAAAATTCTCCTCCCAGCAGCATAAACATCTCGGCTGCTCGAGTCTGCCCCAAGGCAGGGCAGGGCAGGCAGGCTTCCCGCACTCCCAGCTCCTACAGGCAGCAGCAGCCCTGCGCTGAGATCCGTTAGCTCTCCTTGCTGCTTAAGGCTGCAAAGTGGCATTATTTCCATCCCAGTGGGTGCTCCGCTGTCACACCCCCTTCTAGCAAAACAGAAATGTTTCTGGCCCTTTGAAAAGCAGCCCTACCTTCTCAGCCTGAGCCTCAAGAGACTTGAGATTGTTGGTGACATTCTTCAGCTCCTCCTCCAGCTCGGAACATTTACTGTGGGGTTTTGTAAAGAAAGAGGGGAGAGAAAAAAGGAAAAGAAGTGGGAGGGAAAGACAGGAGAGAGGAGAAGTGAATCCATGTGCAGGGGAGACCAGGGAGTTCTTTAGGAGGCGGTCTGTGATCAGACTGGATGGGACCCTGCTTTGGAGCACTTCTGCAGAAAGCAAGCTCCCTTCCAGCCTCCAAGGTCAGAGCTTAGATACTCCGCCAGCACGCGCACAGGGCACCGGGCTGAGCGGCTGAGACACGGCCACAGACTGCCAGACCTGGCACCTTCACGGAGCAGCCACACGTCGGGTTTGCTGTAAGGAGGGAAGCTGTTCTGGCGGACAGACGGACAGCTGCCACCACTCAGACAGGAGCAGAGAGGACAGAACATTCCAGGACAGAAAGACGCAGTGAAGCGGAGGGAAGGAGCGGAGCAAGAAGACCACAGGAGTTCTGGTTTAATGGGTCGAGAAGGGAACGGTTAGTACCTTTTCTTCGGCAACAGACAGACACTTCAAGTTCTGGTCCATCACTCTGATCTGCTCCTGCAGCTCCCGGACACGACTGTTAGTGACGGTCGCATGATGGCACAAGCCAGGTGGGGGCAAGGGTCAAAAGGAGCACCGATAACACAATACCGCAGAGCAAAAAAGGGGGCAGGGGAAAAACACAAAGAAGTCATGGTCACGACATGCATGTCTGGGCAGGAAGCACAGTGCTACAGCTGCACGCATGCTAGCTTTGTTAGACAAGGCCCACGGTACAGAAAGGCCCTGAGCAGCTCCTCGAGGACCTGCTCCAGCATCCAGAGACGTGAAAGGAGCCCAAACCACATGGCCGGTGTCTCTGCTCCAAGCAGAAGTTGTTTAGCTTGCTGAGCAGCAGCGCTCACGTCTGCAGTGGTTTCTGAAAATAACTCAAGGCCACAGAGCAGCCCCGGCACCGACTCTGCTCTTGGACATCCTGCGTGCTGCTTCACGGGAGGCCTCGGCCCTTGTAGGACAAGCACCGTGCGCTCGTGTGCCCCGTAGCGGTGTGCGGGGAGCCAGTGACCACGCTCGGGAGCAGTGCTGGGGAAAACCGAGACGGGGAGGATTCTCTGACCTTGCCACCAAGGAGGTGGAACAGCCCCGCTGCGAGCCATGCTGATTGTGACGGACACAAACTCACACCCCCGGTGCATCTCCTCCTGCTCCGAGCAGGAGAACGCTCCCGACTCTGTGAGCTGGGGCTCTAAGCCCACCCTGTACTTCAGGCCTTGTGTAACAAGGTTAGGAATGCCGTTAGTGTTAGTCCCATGCGCAGGTAGACATGCCAGCCACACGTGAGCAGATTACTCACGACTCTGCAAGCTCAGCTCTCTCCTCGGTGCGCTCCAGGTCTCCTTCGATGATCACCAATTTCCGGGCAACCTGGGGGGGACAGAACCAGAGCTCAGAGCAAGGCAGATTTTCGCACTGCTAGGTCGTGCGAGGCAGGAAAGGGAACGCCTGCAGGAGTCACTGCTGCCGCCAGAGTTCCTCCGGCTGGGGAAATGGTGATGAAGCTCAGAGGCCGGGATGTCCCCAAACCACGTTTGCAGGAAGAGGAGGCACCACTCCGGGCCAGGGGCAGCTGTCCCAGCGCATCGCAGCCTCACCTCCTCGTACTTCCTGTCCGCCTCCTCCGCAATGTGCTTGGCTTCCTTCAGCTGGATCTCCTGCAGCTCCATTTTCTCCTCATCCTTCAGAGCTCTGTTTTCGATGACTTTCATGCCTCTGCCCAAAAAAAAAAAGCAAGCGCAGCAAGGGGTGATGTATGAAACGGTGCCACACAAGCCAGCGCAGAGAGCAGACGCTGCTGGGCTGAGGGAAACGCAGCAACCTCGCCTGCCCAGGGCTAACTGCTCCTCGGAGCATTGCTCCAGCAGCTCATCGGGCTCCTGGGCCATGAGAAACGCCGCTGAGCACGAGTCAGGATGTCGCAGGGACTCCGCACGGGCGAGCCAAGCACTTTCCAGGCCGAAAGGCAGGAGGAGCCAAGTCCTCATGGCAGGCCGTCAGCTGGGCCCGGCTGCACAGCGCTGCGGCCAACTGGAAGTGCTGGGAGGGGGCCGCTCCCCTCCAAATCACATTCCCAGGTCGGGAGCTCCCTGCCGGGGGCGAGGAAGCAGCAGGAAGAAGCCCCGAGCCCCAGCAGCGCCCTTCACCAGCCCAGGGCTCCCCAGACCCCGCTTCCTTCTCCCCCAGAGGGGGTGCGCAGCAGCAGGCAGCACCCCTCGCCCTTAGCCTCGGGCTCCGCGATATTCCCGAGGGCAGCAGCATCGTTTGGGCGGCTCTGCACAAGCAGGCAGGGCTCCCACACCCTGCCTTGATGTGGGGGCCGCTTCCCACCCTCCAGGAAGCCCAGCAGGCACCCGGCCCTCCCTCCGGAACACGCCTGGGACTCAGAGCGAGAGCAGCAGCAGCCCTTGCTCACCTTTCGCTTTCATCCGCAGCCTTCTCTGCCTCCTCCAGCTTCTGCAGAGCCGTGGCAAGGCGCTCCTGGGCCCGGTCTAACTCCTCCTCTACCAGCTGGATGCGGCGGTTCAGAGATGCCACTTCTGCCTCGGCCTGGGGGGAGCGGAAGGGGTGACTCAGCCCGCGGGTCAGCGGCGGCACACAGGAAACCGAACCGAAGCCGAGGGGCTTTGCCCGATTTTTTCACACCTGCGCTCCCAGACGCCTGCAAGTTGAGCCTTGCAGCATCGAGCAGGGCTTTGGCTGCGCCGCCGTCACCGCGCAGGTTTCTCGCCCGTCAGCTCGAGCTGACATGACAGCTTAAGCCACGAGCGCTAAGCAGATGCCTTACACTAATGTGTCTTCTCCGCAGCTGCTCTAATCCTGCCAGCCCATCCATCAGGCCCGTTTATCCCCCATCCCAGCGCCCTCTGACAGCTGCTATTTAGCACCGCCTCAGTTTACGCGTGCGATTTGGACGCGAATGCTGCTTGGAACGAGCCCTCTCATCAGCACCCCGAGGTGATTAGCAGGGCTCAGGGCTCTGCCCGCCGCTGGACCCGGCTCCGCAGCGGGCTCAGCCGCTGGCAGCAGCGCCGGCAGCTCGGGGCTCAGACTGCGAGGAGCCAGCGATCCACCCACAGCCCTCAGCAAGAGCCAAAGCCTCCGAGAGCTCCTCGGCCACCTCATTTCTGGAGTCGCGAGCTGCCGAGAGCCCACGGGCGGTTGCCAGCAGCGTGACCACAGGACTGAACAAGGGTTTAACGAACCCGTGAGGTCAGGAGGCATCGCGCACCCTCAGCCAGCCCCGCTGCAGCCCCATGGCCACCAGCCACGAGGCAACTGAAGCCTGGTCTGTGGCGAGCCCCGAGAGGACTCCAAAAAGCCCCGGGGACACCCACACCCTGTCCCAGCCACCCCAGAAGAAGCCGGCATCCCCTCCAGCAGGATTTCCACACCGCTGCAGAGGTGGAGAGCACCGTGGCTGTCTCAGAGCAGCAGGGCGATCCAGCAGAGGCCAGCACGCGGGCACATGCCGGGCGTGTGTGAAATATCCCAGCCGCCTGCGACAAAGCAGCCCGCGAGGACGCGCGGCCTCGAAGCGAGCCGATGCCCAAGGAAGGAGGAGCAGCGCCATGAAAGGGGCCGGTGTTGGAACGGGGCCTGACACAAACCACGCTCGGGCCGGGGAGAGGCTGCTGAGCTCTTCCCCGCGGAAACCCGCGGCACCGCGAGGCTCGGAGGAGCCGGCAGCCCCAGCGAGCAGCCAGCACCAGAGGAGGAGGAGGAGGAAGAGGAGGAGGAAGCGGTCTGCTCGAGGAGGAACAAAACGCTCCGAGCAGCGGCGGGGAGGAGGCTGCCTGGCACACACACACACACACATTTTGGCTTTTTGGCTCCTAAAGAGGCAGCGAGCTGTCAGGCCCAGCCTCGTCCTGCCCCCAGGGGACGGAGGCGCAGCAGCCCCCCTGCTTCCTGCCCCCCTCCACCTCGGCTTCCTGCGGGCAGCACCGAACCCTCCCCGAAAAGCCCCGGCTGCCAGGAGCTGCCCGGCCCCGCTGGGGGCTGCCAGGGGCCCGATCCTTCCGATCCTTCCGATCCTTCTGATCCTTCCCCTCTGCCCCCTGCACACGGCGGGGACACCCCCAGGCAGCCCCAGCAGCACCTCGGGGGCTCCTGGGGGGAGGGAGCCCCGAGCCAGGGGGATGCAGGGAACCGGCACCGGGCTCAGCACCGGGCTCGGCGCCGCTTCCCGAGCCCAGAAACCGGGGCAGGGAAATCCCTCGGGACCCCGGTGCCGGTGCGGGAGGCCCGGGGGTCGGCAGGGTTGAGCCCTCGGGGCAGAAAAGCCGCAGTTTTGGGGCAGAACCGGCAGAATTGGCACACACGGCGCGGATGCACCCCCCCCCCCCCCCCCCAACCCCGGCCGCCGCCCGCGGTACCGGGACACGACCGGGGAAGGGAAGGGGGGGGGGGCACCGCCCCGTGATGTCCCCACCCCACCCCCCCCAGCCCCATTCGGTGCCCGGGATCGCCCCCCCGAGCCCTGCCCCGCTCCCCAAGATGTCCGGGCCGCCTCCTCCCCCACACCGGGAGCCCCCCGCGGCTCCCCCCGGGGCCCGGTACCGGGGAGGGGCCCCCACGGCTCCTACCACACCGGGACCAAACCCCCCGCAACCCCCCCCACAACAACGAGACCGGCGGCCTCCCCCCCCAGCACCCCCCTTCCCCCCCCCCCAACACCGGGAACCCTCCCGGTACCGAGCCCCGGGGCGCGGCAGCACCGGGAGGGGGCACCGGGAGGGGGCTCCCCCCGCCGCCCCCCACCCCGCGGGCAGCTCGCAGGGCCCGGCACACGCCTCCCCCCCCCCGGTTCGATCCCGTTTCGGTCCCGGTTCGGTCCCGGTTCGGTGCCGGTGCCGGTGCCGGTTGGTCCCGGTACCTGCTCCCGGTTGCGGCGCTCGGCCTCCACCTCCCGCTGCAGGCGGTCCGCCCGCTCCTCGGCGTCGTCCGCCTGCTGCTGCAGCACCTGGATCTTGCGCTTCACCGCCTCGATCGTGGTGGCCCCCGCCATGGTCCCGGCCGCTGCCCGCCCCGCCCTGAGCTCCCGGAACCCGCCGCCCCGGCCCCGCCGCCCCGGCCCTGACGTCACTTCCGCCCCGCACCCCCGCCGCCCCGGTCCGGATGCGGCACGCCCCGGCCCCGCCCCTCCCCCCCCCCCCACCGGTGTTGCCGTGGAAACCGGGGGCACCGGGATCCGGGGGGGGCGCCGGGGGGGGCACCACCGGGACCGGGAGCACCGGGCGTGGCCCCCTACGGGACCGGGGGCACCGGGACCGGGACCGGGACCGGGACCGGGGGCACCGGGACCGGGACCGGGACCGGGACCGGGACCGGCCCCACCGGGACCTGGAACACCAGGACCGGGGGCACCGGGGGTGTGGGCATCGGGCATGGCCCCCTACTGGACCGGGGGAAACCGGGACCGGGATCTGCCCCACCGGGACCGGGGGCACCGGGAGGGGGGGGCACCACCGGGAAGGGGGGCACCGGGCGTGGCCCCCTACGGGACCGGGACCGGGACCGGCCCCACCGGGACCGGCACCACCGGGGATGTGGGCATAGGGCATGGTCCCCTACTGGACCGGGGGCACCGGGAGCACCGGGCACAGCCCCCACCAGGACCGGGACCACCCCCACAGGGAGTGGGGGCACCGGGAACACCGGGCACAGCCCCCACCGGGAGCAGGAATAACCCAGGACAGCCCCCGGGGTACCGGTGGCACCGGGCACAGCCCCCTGCAGCCCCAGGATGTGCCCCCCGGGGACACCAGGGACAGCCCCCTGGGGACCGAGGCACCCCCCAAGCAGCGGGGCCACCGGGCACGGCCCCCACCTGGGCCCAGGCCTTGTCCCAGGCGGGCACCGGGGGACACCGGGCCCTGCCACGCACGGTACCGGGGGCACCGGCACGGCCCACACCGGCCTCGGTGCTCCGGGCCCTGCCCCACAGCAGCTTGGGGACACCGGGGCTGGCCCCACACAGGACCGGGGACACCGGGACTGTGCCCCCCAGCCCTGCCCCACGCGGCCCCCACAGCCCCCGGTGTCCCCCGGCTGAGCACCGGGGCCGTGCCGCAGCCCCGCGGGCCTTATACGGGCACGGCCGGGCCGGCGGCTGCGCATTCCCGGGGGCTGAGCTCACCCCGCGGCCCCCCTCCCCGGTCACCGGCTTCCCGTCCTCGGGGTCGCCCGAGGATCCTGGCTCCGAACCCCCGACCGCTGCCAGCGGGGCCGAGCGTCACCCCAAAAATGGGCCGAAAAAAAACATTTCCTGCTCCCTTCTGTGCTGCTGCCTCGCTCCTGCCCCGCTGTGTGCCAAAATCCGGCGCTGCGACGGTGCCAGCCTGGGGTTTTTTGTGCCCTGACCCCAAACCCTGCGGTGTTTTTATCACGCATTTTGTGCCCTGACCCCAAACCGGAGTCAGGGCACAAAATACGTGATAAAAACACCAGGGCTGCGCTCGAGCTGGGCACGGTCGAGCTGGGACAGCAAAGCCACCGGGCTGTCGAACCCCCTGGGGGGTCGGGGAGGATTTGGGGGTCCTGGTTACGGCAACCGGAGCCGGGACAGCCCAGCAGAGCAAGCCCAGGCACCGCAGTTTTGGGTTCTTCCCCATTTGCGCTGCACCAGATTTGCGGGGAGCCCACGGGTGCTCGACCCCCCGGGTGCCGGAGGGTGGGAGGGTCCCGGCCCCCCGTGGCCACCAGACCCCCGCAGGTGACAAACGGGGACATCGCGCCACGTGGCTGCCAGGAGAGCGGCCGGGCGGCGAAACCCTGCACCGCTCGCGCCATTGTTTTCCTGGAAAGGGCGGCCAACAATAGCGGGACTGTGCAGTTGTCGCGCTGCCCACGCGGCCCCCGCCTGTCCCCGGGGGGGGGACGAGCGGCTCCGGCCTTCTTTGGAGTTTGGCTCCTCCATCGGCAGCCGTGACTCAGAGCTCCGCGGGGCCGGGCGCTGACCCCACGCCCCGGGGGCTGCTGGCGGCTCCCAGCTCCCCACGGCTCTGCCCCGGCCCCCTGCCCCAATTTGGGGACCGTCCTCTGTCCCCAGGGCCATGGGGAGGGCCGAGCTCTGCGGGGAGGCCGCCGTCCGAGCCCCCCGCTCAGCCCCCTGCCCCCCATACGTACGTCCGCCGCCTTCTTCTCCGCCAGCTCCAGCTTCTCCTGGGCGTCTTTCAGGGCCTCGGAGTATTTGTCCAGCTCGTCCTCCGTCCCCTTCAGCTTCTTCTGCATGGCGGCCAGCTCGTCCTCCAGCTGCAAGGGCAGCGGCCGTCACCCCCGGCGGACACCCCCGGGACCCCAGCAGGGCACCAGCTCCCAGCCCATGGGGGACATTTCCCTGCTTCCCTCCTCCTCCCTGGACCAGCTCTGCCCCACAGGCTCCCTCCCGGCCCCACATCACCCAAACTGGTGGGGGCTGAGCCGTGGGCAGCCCATGATGGGGCTGCCATGAGCAGCGCTGCCCCACGGCGTGCCCCTGACCCCTGCCCGGGGGGTTTTATCACTCTGGATTTCCCCACAAAGCCCCAGCCTGGATGGTTCAGCTCTGCAGGAGCATCCCTCGCACCCTGTGCCCCTTTCCCACAGCCTGTGATGGGTCCGGCAGGGCTCCGTGGGGCAGTTTGGGGACAGCCCCCACCCGCTCCCCTCCCTGTGCTCCTGCCACCATCCCACCTGCTTGCTCCGCTCCTCCGCCTGCTTCTGCTCGGCCTCCGCCTGCTCCGCCCGATCCAGGGCGTTCTCCTTGTCCAGCTTCAGCATCTGCATCTTCTTCTTGATGGCCTCCATGGTCGGCGGTGCTCGGGGGGGCTGCGGCGGGCAGCGGGGCGGGCAGGGGCAGGCGGGGTGGCACTGCTGCCCGCCGCCCCGCCGCCCGGTTTATCAGCGCACCCCTGCCCGCTGGGCGCGGGGGCTTTGCCTTTCTTGGGCCGAGCCGCCTCCCCGCGCTCCCAAAAAGTCTCTGCTCGGGACCCATTGTCTGGCGTGGGGGGGTCCGGGCGGCCGCGGCCTTATTTGGGCTCCTGCAGGACAGCTGGGGCAGTTATAAAAAGCAGCGGCAGGTCGGCGAGCAGGGGGTCCCGCATTGTCCTGGCTGCCCGCCCCCCCCGTGCAAGGGGACACCCTGGCTGGCGGCACAGGGACACCGTGTCCCACCCCGCCGGGCACCCCCTGCGTGTGTGCTGGCACCGCTGGGGTGGGCAGGGGGGCTGGGGGCTCGGATCCCCAGCCTGGCAGCCTCTGGGGGTCGGTGGCACTGCTGGGCACCTGCAGAGTGGGTGCCACTGCTCCATGGCCCCCAGGACACGCTGGGGAGGCACCGACCCAGGTCCTCGTGGCACCAAAAGTGAAGCCCCCCCCCATTCGCACCCAAGCGGGGGCTCAGGCCGTCCGTGTCACCGGTGTCACCAGGCACCCCAGGCTGACATTTATCCGTGCCCGGGGGCGGCGTGGCAAAGGGCGAGCTCAGCCCGCTGCTATTTTAGGAGCAGGAGCTTAGCAGCAGCCCCCAGCCCACATTGTTCGGCTCCGCGGGGAGCAGCGGGGGGGAGCCGAGCCCCCCAGGAGCCCGCTGAGCCCCCGCTGGCCACGCTGGTGCTCAGCCGCGAGGCTGAGGATGCTGTTGGCATCCGGAGGAGCAACTTCCCCTGGCACAGGGAGGAATTGGCAGGGAGCGAGCTCCTCGGCACTTCCCATGCTGCCGGGGGATTATCGGCCTCCTTGGAGCCAGCGCTGCGAGCCCGGCTGGGATCTCCCGCAGGGGACATCGGCTGCACCCGGCCGGGGACAGATCTGGGGGCTGAGCAGGGCAGGAGGGAGCCGGGGGGGCTCGGTGCCCACAGAGGGTCCTGGTTCCTGCCGTGCCCCCTGGCTCCGTCCCTCGGGAGCCGTAATTAGCCGCCAGCCCAGGGCAGCAGAGCCAGCAGTGGGCACGGGGCCAGGCGCCTTCGCCCCGCGCTCGTCCCGGGGTGGGCAGGGGACAGGTGGCGAGCGCTGAGCCCGCGCGGGCGGCGTCTCGGCGGGTTGGTGCTGGGCGGCCCTGGCGCTGTAAGAATATGTTTGATATTTAGTTGGTTTTCCAATAAAACAACCTAATATCAAACATATCAGACAGAGGCAGGGGCAGGCGGACGGGACACGACGCGGGGCTCGGCTGCCTGAAAGAGAAAGAGCAGAGACGAGGTGCAGCGGGGCCGCGGCTCCTCGCGGTCCGCCTGGGCAGGACCTGGGGGCTCCGCGCGTGCTGCACCCTGGCCTCAGCATCCTCAGTTGTGGGCTCCTGCTCCATCGGCTCTGGGATCCTTGGGGATCTGGTGGCCAAGAAGAGGCGAAATGCAGCGGGGATGGGGCTGGAGCAGGGCAGAGCTGTCACCGTCCCCTGGCACGGAGCAGCGAGGTGGGCAGCGCTGCTCACCCCGTCCCCGCGCATCCGGGGCCGAGGGGACGCCGCGTCCATCGCTGCCTTACCTGGGCCAGCTCGGGGGGCTCCTCGGCCGCTCTGGCGCGGGGGCCGCCCGGTCGCCGTTTATAACCGTGCTCGGCTGCACCCGGCGGGGGGACGCGGCCGGCAAGCGCCCCGGCCCCACGCACGTGGCCTCGTTCCCATTAATTACCACCCATCGATGTCCCCCTGCCCCCTCGGCGCAGCCCCGCGCCCTTGCCGCTGAGCGTGGCCGGTCGATACGGGTCGATGGCCCCGCGCCGCCTGCTCCTGCCCCCGGTCACACGCCGCCGTCATTAGCGGGGACGTCGATACCGGGGAGCCGTCCCCGTCCCGGTGGGCTCCCCGCTGCTGAGGGGCTGCGTGTGACCCTGCCCAAGGACGAGCCCTGGCTGGCGCTGGGGGGCTGTGCCCCGCGTCCCCTCCTGCTCCATCCTGTCCCCGCGCCTTGGGTTTGGGGGAGCTGCTGAGGGCGCAGGGAGTGCAGGAGCATCCCCTCCACGGGTGGCTGGAGGAGGCGAGTGTCTGTGTCCTCCTGCACCGTCCCTCGTGGGGATGTGGCCCTGGTGCTCTGGGTACAGCTGGGTGACAAAACAGGACCCCGGACCTGCTGTGGGGTGGCTGCCCCATAGATGGATGGCCCCATAGAGCTGGGAGGGCACGCGGGGCCTCGTGGCGTGGCACCAGGGGACACACAGCTCCCGGGGCTCTGCGGGGCCCAGACCCGCTGGGCAGGATGTGGGGAAGGATTTGGGGTGGCCCCAGTACCACGGGTGGATGGGGACACAGCCCCTGCCCAGGCGGCCTCTGACAGCCGGGAGGGTGGCACCGGGGACAGCAGGGACACGTGGAGGCAGCGCAGGGCCGGGACACGGGGAGCTGCGTGCGGTGGGGGTGATGTGATGCGACCCGACAGCCGAGCTAATGAAGGGCCGTTGGCGGGGGGGTGCCAGCCCGGCGGCCCCCAGCCCTGTCAATAACCTGAGCCAGGGCAGGCGCTGATGGGCCCTGGGGCCAGGAGACACCAAGGTTGGGCACAGGCAGCGGGGACAAGGGACAGGAGGGGGCTCGGGGGGTGCCCGGATGGCGAGCGGGGCCACGGAGCATCGCACCCCAGCCCCGTCCCCAGCACTGGGGGGACAGCGGCGTGCGGCTGGCACCGGGCACTGCACCGGGAGTGGGTCCTGACCACGGAGCACGAGGGGCTGCGGGTGCCACGTCCACACGTGGGGCAGGCAGGGAGAAGCAGAGCGGGCGCAGTGGCCGTGCTGCCATCTCCTGGCACAGCCACAGCCGGGCCCAGCGTGCCAGGATCTGGCACAGGGGGGCTGCAGGTGATGCTGCCGGGTCCCAGCCGCTGGGGATCGGGCTGCGCTGCCCCTTCCCTCTGCCCCACGGCCAGTCCCCATCCCAAGCAGGCACAGCCCCCACAGCCCCGTCTCGCTCAACTCCTTTTATTCCCCCCCAGTGCTGCCAGCCAGGCGCTCAGAGCCGCTCCACATAGAAAGCCTTCCCGAGCTGCTGCAGCTCCCGCTGGTACTGCTGGTACTCGTCCTGGAGGAGCCGGTGCAGGGCGGCCCGGCGGACCTGCGGGGCGTTGGGGCCAGCGGTGAGCCACGGCTCCTGCTGCCGGGGGTCCCTGGGCCCTCCGTTGCCGGAGCCAGGAGCACCCCGGGGACGAGGGGCACGTGCCTGCGGGCAGGGCACCGTGCCCAAACCGAGCGGAGCTCACCGTGGTTTGCTCCTTGGAGGCCAGGCGCAGCTCTGCCCCCAGGCTCCACCGCAGCTCCCCGAGGGCCGTGGCCCAGACCCGCTCCTGGCGCTGGGGGTGCTCCCCAACCACCCTCCCCCAGCTGTGGGGACAGGGGGTGACAGGAAGGACTGGGGTGATAGGGACAGCAGGGGCAGCACAGGGTCCCCGTCCTCCCTGCTGTGCCCCCCCTCCTGCTGGGCCCCCTTCACCCCGGGGACCCCCTTTGCTGGCTCTACCTCCGCAGCAACTCCGCGTAGGCTCCCTCCTTCGCCAGGACCTGCAGCAACCAACACATTTGGGGGGGCTCAAACCTGCCTGGGGTTTCCGCACTGTAACGGGGACGCAGGGCAGGTGACTGCCCCCACCTTCTCCTGCCGCAGGGACAGGGCCTTTTGGACCTCCGCAGCCATGGCCGGTGCCTGTGGGGACCCCACAACCGCCCCCTGCCCCAGCCGGGCCGTTACCAACGTCCCCGTCACCTGGGGCAGGCAGCGCGGTGACAGCCCCACGGTGACCGTTGTTGGTTCCTTGGATCCCCCAGGGAACGGCTCCTGGCAGCCAGAGGCCCGCGGCACGCATCCAGCTGGGGGTAACTGTTGTTTTATTAAACAGCAATTAAAAAGAGTGCAGAGGCCCGGGGAAGGGGCACGGCTCCCACCCCACGCGGGGAGCAGCGGGCGCTGCCGGCAGGACGCCGACACGGAGCTGGGCTCCCCCCGCCGCCAGCAGCCCCCTCCCCTGGGCATCCGAGGCGCTGGTGAGAGCGGGGAGGAGCCCCCGGCAGGGCAGACGGGGCAGCTGCAGCTGGGATTTGTCTGACCGAGACGTCCCCAAAGGCCCAGCTGCAGGACAGAAACCGCAGCCCGAAGGGGCACCTCGCCCACCGAAATATTTACACTCCGTCCAGGCCCCCAGCAGCGATGGTGCCGTGGGGAAATCGTTTCAGTGGTCTTTGGAGAGAAGAGACGAGCGGCTCCGCAGCCTGAGCTCAACGCAGCCAGGACGGACAGGCAGCATCAGCCCCTGCTGGCCGCCACGGGGAAGAGGAGAGGTGGAGGAGAGCGCTGGCTGGGGGGGGAGGATGTCTTTTATAAATAAGCTAAAGCTAACCAGAGTTTATTCACAGGGCCGGGGCTCCGAGGCGGAACAACGCCTGCAGCGTGCCCCAGCCTGGCGCATGGGCTGATCCCCGCCGGGTTGGGCAGGGGGCACAGTGCTTTGCAACGGGCTCCTGGCGCAGGGGGAGCTCCAGCAGCTGAAATGGAGCCCCCACGGAGCTCCTCTATCCGCCGTCGTGCAAGAGGGAGGCCCAAGAGCGTGGCCGCTTCCTCCCAGCTCCGTTTGCGCGCTGACCCGCGGCTAAAATGCACCCGGGACACTGAGCTGCAGCCAGCCAGGGGCTCTGCTCTCGGCAGGTCCCCGGAGCAGCGCTCCCCGCCCCGCTCACAGGGTGCTCTCCAGCGTGTTGTAGTTGTCCTTGAAGCTCTTCAGCTCCAGGAAGTGTTTGGCACGTTTGCTCTTCTGGCTGGAAGGCAGGTAGGTGACCTGGATGGTGGCGGGGCTGGAGACTTCGGGGGACAGAGTGAGGTCCTTGGCTGCTGACTGGTGCTGCCGCTGGCTGCTGCCTGCCCGGGCCTTGGTCCTGCAGAGAGAGGCACCATCACGG